CACACTTGTGCCTGGCCGACCTGGCTGTGGCTCTCTTCCAAGTGCTGCCCCAGCTGGCCTGGGATGCCACTGACCGCTTCCATGGGCCTGATGCCCTGTGTCGAGCCGTCAAGTACCTGCAGATGGTGGGCATGTACGCCTCCTCCTACATGATCCTGGCCATGACGCTGGACCGCCACCGCGCCATCTGCCGCCCCATGCTGGCCTACCGCCACGGAGGCGGGGCTCGCTGGAACCGGCCAGTGCTGGTGGCCTGGGCCTTCTCCCTCCTTCTCAGCCTGCCCCAGCTCTTCATCTTCGCCCAGCGTGACGTGGGGGACGGCAGCGGAGTCACTGACTGCTGGGCTCGATTCGCAGAGCCCTGGGGCCTTCGAGCCTACGTCACCTGGATCGCCCTGATGGTGTTCGTGGCACCTGCCCTGGGTATCGCTGCCTGCCAGGTGCTCATCTTCCGGGAGATTCATGCCAGTCTGGTGCCAGGGCCGTCGGAGAGGGCTGGAGGGTGCCGGGCAGGCAGTCCGAGCGAGGGAGCCCGGGTGTCAGCGGCCATGGCCAAGACCGTGCGGATGACCCTGGTGATTGTGACTGTCTACGTGCTGTGCTGGGCGCCCTTCTTCCTCGTGCAGCTGTGGTCCGTGTGGGACCCGGAGGCGCCCCGGGAAGGTGGGTGTGGTGGGCGCTAGGGCCACAGGGGCCAGGGGCTTGGCCACGCGCTCAGCTCTCCCCCTCACCCGGCTGTGGGCCCAAGTGCGCACAGGACATGCCCCAGCGGCTGAGCCCAGCCTGGCCTGCCCACAGGGCCGCCATTCGTGCTGCTCATGCTGCTGGCCAGCCTCAACAGCTGCACCAACCCCTGGATCTACGCCGCCTTCAGCAGCAGCGTCTCCTCGGAGCTGCGCAGCCTGCTCTGCTGTGCCCGCAGGCGCACCCTGCCCAGCCTGGGGGCCCAAGATGAGTCCTGCGCCACTGCCAGCTCCTCCTTGACCAAGGACACTGCCTCCTGAGGTGCTGTGGAGCCTCCCTTCCAGCTGGGAGAGGAGACCTCAGGGGATCGGCCAGAGCCGGAGGCCCTGCTGCGGCCACTGCGTGGCCCTGGCCAGCTCTGATCCCTTCAGGCCTCGGCGTCCTTCGGGAGTGAGGGGCCCCCAGGTCAGTTACTCTGTGCTGAGCACGGGCGGGTCTGCGGGGTTCACAGCACGCATGCGCGTGCTCTCCAGGTGGTGAGAGCCTGCCAGGCGAAGCAGGGAGAAGGCCCAGGGTGGGGCCAGGGGCATTCCTTGTCTGTACGTCTCTGACCCCCTTCTCCCCGCACTCTCACGTTCCCTCTAATAAACGCTGTGGCCTCCTCGGATGGGAGGAATGGTCAGTGGCTGCGGAGGTGGCTGAAAGACATACCCAGACCCCCATCCCAGACATGTTCGGGCTCTGGAACCTACGATGCAGGCAGTGGAGCCTTCGTAGGTGCTGCTTCACATGTGGGCAGCTCTCATCTAAGCGGGAACCCTGCCAGAGACTGTTCCGGCCACCCAGGCTGCTGCTCCCATCCCACCGGCCCATCCCCCCAAGACAGAGCACTTGCTCACACCGGGAGCCAGGAGCCGAGGCTCAGGTCTTTATGACTCGCCACCCCTGGGCTGAGGGACGAGCAGGGGCAGGGGCCAGGACCCGGGAGCCCTGCTGGACAGCCTTTCCTCTGGGCACAGGGCTGCAGCAGGGCGCCACGCATTAGCTAGGCAGGGCCAGGGAGAAGCAAAGGGCCTGGGGACAGTGCTTGGCTTGCTGCTGGTCTGGGGCTTACAGGGCAG